TATCATGATGAATTACATTTTGCAACACCAGTAAAATCTTCTAGTATTACTAACAATTCTAAAAAACACAAGAATATTTTTGCGAACTTCAAAATCAAACACAACCAAGTATTTCACAACGTAACCCACCAACTCAGCAAAATAATTTTACAGAATTGGAGGTGTATCTTGTGGAACCAATCGATGAGAATGATGAACCATCTTAATACTGGAAAACTAATTGTCAAAAATTCTTAGTTTTATCAAGAATAGCACGTGATTCTTGTCTATACAAGTGAAGAGCATCGCATGTAAACAAACCTTTTCAGTGGCTGGTCATGCTATTTCAAAAACAAGAAATAGAATACATCCGGAAATTGCTAGATCTTTATGCATAAAAAGTTGGATTTTAAATTGAATCGGCGAATAGGCATACAAATTGAGTTGGGAATAACAATCAAATGCAATTAATAAAATGTCAATTATAAGTAATACATAACATAGATTTGAAACTGTTCCATTTAGCCTGGTCCGGTCTAGTCCTCAAATTAACAGTTAAATACATAAACAGTCTTTTATGAACTAGACCGGACCAGACCGGACTATAACATCCCTATATATAGTAAGTATTGTAATATTAAACTTATTTATAAATATAAAAATTTATTGATTATTTTATTTTTAGATTAAATTAGCTATTTTAAAGTAAATTAATAATTTTTCTAATATATAATATCAAATTTTATATCTAGTAAAATTATAATATATTTAATTATTTATTTTCATAATATATATATAAATAAATATATACTTTAAACCGACTCAATAATCTAAATTTAATATGAAATAATTTATATTTATTTTCATAATATATTTAAATAAATATATATTTTAAACCGACTCAATAATCTAAATTTAATATGAAACAATTTAAATTTATTTTGGATCCGAATCCACGCACTGCAGAGATATATCAATTCGGAGTTCCATGTGCAAACTTTGGCGGCAATCCATTGTAAATTTTGACAGCAAGTTTTGCATCGAATCTACATCAATCAAAAGGTTTTTGTCCGGTTGACATCTAACATAATAACTCCAAAACCGTAAATTTAACAGCTTCTGTAAACTACCGATCTAATAAAATCTCTGGTGTGTACATAAGGAATAACTCACTTTTTGAGTCATAATGATTCTTTTTGACAATCCTAGATTTAAGATTGCATATGCCTTCATTTGTAAAATATTACCACTTTGAAAGTCAGTATGAACGTATCCTGCTCTATGAATTTGAAAAGTAGTTTTAATTTAGTTTGTCTTAAAAATTTGTGAAGATTCCTACTATTAGCATATTTGGTATTCAAAAGACAATTAGAAAGTTCATCGATCTAAATCGAAAATAACATTTATTATTTGATGCAAAATTCTTCTGCATTGTGACAACTATATTAAACAATTATACACAATAAGAACTTCTTAAGACTGGATTTATTTATTGTGGCAGCTTGTGCTGAGATAAACCGTCACAATTATTATTATCATAATTGCCTTCAATTATTCCACAAAGACAATAACGATAATGATAAAATTCGTCGATTTCAATCCAAAATAACATTTATTCATCGATACAAAAATTATTCCAATTATATTACATGCACACAAAAACTTTATTTATTTTTATATATTTACTATATAAATAAAATATCGTTAATCTATTTAAAAATATAAATAAAATTATTACTGTTTACAAATTATAGAATAAATTTATTATTTGTATACATACCAAAGCTTTCAAAATTATCAGTAATATCAAGCTTAACTTGAGCAGAATCAGTTTTAGATAAATCTAAATCAAAAATAAAAATAAATAAATAAATAAATAAATAATATATTTAAATAAGTATAACATAGGTTTTAACATAGATTAATTGAAAAAATAAATACTTTTAAATGCATTTGAAATTAATTTTGTGCTGATAATTTTACTAGTATATATTTCATCAGGGTGCTTGAATATCGGCAATGTTTTAATAACTTTATCAGCATCCAAAAATTGCTTTTTAATTTTATTATCATCTGAACTATCTACTTTATTAAGCCAACCTTCAATTTTTGTATAAACGTCACCAGCATTAGGCCGGTGTTGTAGATTTGAGTCCATACATCGCTTCGCCAATTCAACATAGCAGTTGGGAGTTTCTGGTGTACATTCAGGACGCAATCCTTTGCAAATTTCTAGTGAAAGTTTTAAATCAAATTTACGTCCATCAAAAGGTCTTTGACCAGTTGACATTTCTGTCATGATGACTCCGAAGCCATAAATATCAACAGCTTTTGTAAGCTTTTGACCCAATAAAACCTCTGGTGCCACATAAGGTATAACACCATAAATATCATCTTCTGAATTGTTTTCGTTAGATTTTTTAGACAATCCAAGATCTGCGATGTAAGATTGCATATTTTCACTAATTCCTTTACTCTGCAAAATATTGCCACTGTGAAAATCTGAATGAACATAACCTGCAGCATGTATATAACTTAAATCTTTAGAAATATCTTGAAGTAGTTTTAATTTAGTTTGCCAGGTAAGATCACGAAATTTTTTTTTTAAAAACTTGTGAAGACTTCCATTATCGGCATATTGAAATACCATAAAGTATTCATTTTCACTTTTTTGA